AGGGCTCCATGTAATTTCCACAATTTTAAATGTAGGGTTGAAATTAATAATTAATTTTGAATTCAACTTCTTAGCTCGTGAACACGAGTTCAGGCTGCGTAAGTTTCACTTATGGGTGGGTAATTAGCATGGAGTGGTGTTTTGGCACTAGGAAAAACCCAAATGGCCAGTGCCCACACTGTATGACCCCAGAAAGATAAATTGAATCATAAAAAATTGGGAACGTGAAACGCAATTAGATCCATTGTTTGAAGGATTTACATTACTATTATTAATTAGAATAATTTATGGTTGGTTTGGCATTAGGAAAAAGCCAAATGGCCAGGTCCCAGGGGCATCACATGGCGCCCCGCTATTGGTGGACCTATAGGGCAGGGTCGTTGGCACTAATACACCATTTTATGTGATAAAATAATAATATTATATGATAAATCTAATTAAGTCCATGTTTGACAATCATTATTTAAAATTCTTTTTTCTACATATTTATTTTCAAACACATATTCACACAATAAAATATATTACACATAAAATCAAAAAATTTCTTTATTTTTAATCATGCATTCTCCTAAAAACATACTATTCAAAATTTTTTTTAATTAACGTTTGTCTAACAGGGCATGAATGAGTTTTACATATGTTCATTTAATATCAATATGTTGTCACTTGAATTAGTGTTAAACATCAATAATATTAAATATCATATTCTTTTGAACCTAACAATATATAGCTCATATTTGAGTCATATTAAAATTTTTATTTTCATTCTTCTACTCATTTTTAACTACACATTCTTTAATAAAATAATATTTTCCATCACATCAAAAACTTTTCTTACTTTTTCAACCACACATTCTCCATCAATCTACTATTCCAAAATAGATTTTTCCAAAATAATATGACTCAAACACACCCATAGACTAGATATCTCGAAACTAAGATGACTTAAAATGGAATGAGCTCACGAGGTATAGATTTTTGTCATCGATATAATTAGCCCTTGTTTGATAAAAATTAAAATCTAGAGTTTAATCTAAATTAAAGTCCACAATTAATTTCAACCATATATTTTATGGGACACACAACTTTTCAACCACACATTTTATTAACTTTTATCAAAATTTATTAAAAATTTGATTTTAATCACTACCAAACATGGGCTTAATATTGTACACCCATTTCAGAACGTGGTTTCTTGTTATTTCACCAAACATCAAACTCCCTCCCTTCTAATTTTTTTTTTTTTTCTATTTTATAAAAACTAGCAATTGGGTGATTTTAATTTATTTTTTTTAAAAGGAAAAATTACACAATTAAACTCTAATTTTATTTTCTTGTCTCTAATATTTTACTTTGTATATTGTTAATTTTAGTAGACAAAATGTGAATACGTTTTGGAAAGTAAAAGTAATGACAAATGAGTGGGAAAAGGCAATGTTTAAACTTTAAAAAATGAGAATCAACTTTAAACTTTATTAAAATGGAGTCTATAGATTCAATTCAAACTGGAGAGCACTCCATATGTCCCAATTTGCAAATCGCATACGCTTATTCGTTTAATAGTTTTATAAGTTTATTTAAATATCGATTAAATTTCCCTGAAGATTGCATATTCAATTAAATTTTGATTAATACTAACTTTAATCAAAATAGCATGTTTTATGGAGATTCATAAAATAATATTACACGTAAATAAAAAAAAAAATCTTTCCTTTTAAACTATACATTCTCCAATAAATTATTATTCATTTCATTATAATGTGAAATAATGGAACCCAAACAGGGGCTTAGACTTAACGATCAATATTTCTATTTAATTTAATATTTTTTCTTGAGTAACATTAAAAGTAACCCAAGCTGACTCACGCCAAGCCCTATTAATGAGAATGCGTAAGAGTCTCTCCAATGCATTATATAAATTTGAGTAATGCTACTTGCAGTCGCTCACTGCAGCAGTCGCTCTGTATGGCACACACATGTCATGTAGTTATT